AGAGTGGTGGCTCAGCCTGTAATCCTGAGCCTTTGGGAGGCTGAGGTGAGTGGATTGCCTGAGTTCGAGACCCACCTGGGCAGCGAGACCTCGTCTTACAATAAATCAAAAAATCAGCCGGGCGTGGTAGCGCTTGCCTGTAGTTCCGGCTACTTGGAAGGCTGAGGCGGAAGGATCGCCGGAGCTCAGCAGGTCGAGGCTGCGGTGGCCGGGAGCTGCCACTGCACTCCAGTCTGGGCGACAGAGTGAGACTCCAACTCAAAAAAAAAAAAAATTAGCCAGCTAATGCAGGGCTTGGTGGCTAAGCCTGTAATCCCGCGCCTTTGGGAGGCTGAGGTGAGTGGATTGCCTGAGCCTGCGGGTTCGAGACCTGCCTGGACAACTTGGCGAGACCTCATCTCTACAATAAATCAAAAATTAGCCGGGCGTGGTAGCAAGCGCCTGTAGTTCCAGCTACTTAGAAGGCTGAGGCGTAGGGATCGTCGGAGCCCAGCAGGTTGAGGCTGCGGTTGCCGGGACTGGCCACTGCACTCTAGTCTGGGTGACAGAGTGAGACTCCAACTCCAAAAAAAAAAAAGTTAGCCAGCTACACAGGAGGCTAAGGCAGAAGAATCCCCTGAGTCTAGGAGGTCAAGACTGCAGTGAGTCATAATTGTGCCACTACACTCCAGCCTGGGTGAGAATGAGACCCTAACTCAAAAAAAAAAAAAAAAAAAAATATATATATATATATATATATATACACACACACACATACACATATATATAGAGAGAAGAAAACCAAGGAGGAGGCATGTGACACTCTTCTGAAAACTTCCGCCAGGCTGGCATCTATCCTTTTTCATCCCCTTGGGTATGCTTTACTAATCCACACAGCTGTCCACCAGGCTACATCTCTTCATACTTTCTACAAGGATATAATGGGAAATACCTTGCTGAGATCACTTGCTCCGTGTTTTTTTATCTACAAGCTTAATAATTATGTCAGATCCACAAATTGAGCTCTATGATGGCAGCCACTCCTCTATGTGACCCCAGTCCCTGATACATGCAGGGACTAAAGAAGTATCTGAAGAAATGATTGGTTGCATTCGTGAATGAATGAATACATCTGGCTCAGATGAGCATGAAGATTATAGTATTTACGTTTTTTTTCTGACTCCAGTTTCTTTCTTTACTTTGAAAATTGAACAACATTTGTTTCTACTTTCTTTCTTACAGCACCTCTTTAATACCCATGAATCCTGAAAGGTCCCCAGTCTGCATACTGATGAGAAAATGGGAGCTTAGAAAAGTTAAGGGATTTGCACAAGGTCAAAGGCTAATGGAGGGAGGCAGGAGGATTCATGCAATTGTCTACTGGCTTCAAGGCACCATGACGCTACATCTAGCCTTTTACCAACTGAATTTGGGAAGGTTACCCCAGTTTAGCCAACAGCGGCAAGGATATTTCTTCTTAACATAAGCGATACAGTATAGAAAAGCAGAAGCATTTACTTTATAGTCTCAACCTCACACACCATCCACCATTCATTAGTTCATTGACTCAACAAATATTTATTGAACACCTACTAGTGCCATACTATTCTAGGCCCTAGGAATACAACTATGGCAAGCCCTCCTTGAGCCTAAGTGAGTGGAGAGAAATAAGCAAATAGGTATAGACTATGGTCATGGTAAAACCTAAGAGCAAGAGGCAGAGGGACTGTATTGTGCTCCAAAGAGGTGGCATCTGAGCAGAGAGCTAAATGAAGAGAAACCTAAACAAAGACATGCAAATGTCTTGGGGATAAATGCACCAGCAATGGTTGATGTGCTTGTATTCACAGAAGTTCAATACTTTTTCTTTCAGAAAGCAGGGACCTATCTCATATGATGAACTTCCCAGCTATAAAATATCTGATTCTTTCAAGGTACATTTGTTCATTCACTCGTTTTCTCAGCAAATTATTTTCATTAAGCTTCAAACCTTTTTATTAAGTATGTGCCATTTGGAAACTGGGGATAAAGGAGTGAACAAGACCTCAGAGAAGGAGACAGACAGGCACATGCAGCCAACAACATAGTGTGGTAAGACTTACTGTAGTGCTACAGACAGGGTGATGGAAAACAGTTGAAGCATGTCCCCATTCACACTTCTAGGGATATATGTGACTGAAGGAAATATAACATAAAAACATTAAATTCCACAGTGATGGTTTTCAAAGTTTTAAAACCACTCAACCATTTCTTTGTTTTATTTTTTTTTCTTTTTTTGAGTTGGAGTCTCACTCTGTTGCCCAGACAAGTGCAGTGGCCGTTCCTGGCCACCGCAGCCTCAACCTGCTGGGCTCCGGCGATCCTTCCGCCTCAGCCTTCCAAGTAGCTGGAACTACAGGCACGCACCACCACGCCCGGCTAATTTTTTGAATTATCGTAGAGATGAGTACTCGCCAAGTTGCCCAGGCAGGTCTCAAACCTGCGGGCTCAGGCGATCCACTCACCTCAGCCTCCCAAAGCTCAGGATTACAGGCTGAGCCACTGAGCCCAGCTTCAACCATTTGTTTTTTTTGTTTTTTTTTTTAGTTGGAATCTCACTCCGTCACCCAGACTGGAGTGCAGTGGCCTCTCCCGGTCACTGCAGCCTCAACCTGCTGGGCTCTGGCGATCCTTCCACCTCAGCCTTCCAAGTAGCTGGAATTACAGGCACGCGCTACCACGCCCGGCTAATTTTTGATTTACTGTAGAGATGAGGTCTCGCCAAGTTGCCTGGGCGGGTCTCGAATCCGCGGACTTAGGCAATCCACTCACCTCGGCCTCCCAAAGCGCTGGGATTACAGGCTGAGCTACTGAGCCCGGCCTTCAACCATTTTTTAAATGAAACTTTAGAAAGTCCAACATGCAATAGTCAAAGGAGTTGTGCTGGTTAGCACAAAATTGGAGGCCTTGGGACACCTTCAAAAACATGTAACAGATTATGAAAACCACTGCCCTAAATATTTGTTACGGCCAAGAACAAAAATCTGTTCACTGTCCACTAAAGCCTATTTATCTTCAAGTGGTCAAGTAAACCAAATTCAGAGAGCCATTCACTCAGTCAAAACCATTTGAACCATTACCTCTGGCTTGCATTGAAGGGAATAAATTCCTCTGTCCAAACGAGGGCTGATTAGACTACTTTTTTCCTGCCCTTCAAAGTCATCGAATCAGAGTTATTGTAGTCTAAATGACTCATAAGCACAATTTAAAGAGTCCATCGTTTAGCCGGGTGTGGTAGTGCGCCTGTAGTTCCAGCTACTTGGAAGACTGAGGCGGAAGGGTCGCCGGAGCCCAGCAGGTCGAGGATGCGGTGACCGGGAGCGTGCGACTGCACTCCAGTCTGGGCGACAGAGTGAGACTCCAACTCAAAAAAATAAAAAAATAAAAAGAGTCCATCGTATTGTTTTTTCCTACTTCTGGACAAAGGTTGCCACATTTACGGTGAGTTATCTTTTTCAAAGAATGCTGGGCATCACCTGGTTTTGATGACACTAAATTGTTTTCTAGAACATTCTCATATGATGCAAGCCTGCTTTCCTTCCTATGGTAGCACACATGCGAATGGCAGCTTGTGGCGTGATTGCGGTTCTCTTACCCTCATGCTCCCATCCAGGCATAGCCCAGGCCAAGGCAGACATCACACTCTAGCTTGGGGACCATCATTCTAGCCATACTAACCCACCACCTCTCCTTTCTTCTCTCTGCAGATGACGGCAACCGCCCAACCACCCTCCAAGGCCCAGGCTGTCCACATCTCTGCACCCTCGGCTGCTGCCAGCACACCTGTGCCCAGTGCCCCCATTGACCCCCAGGCCCAGCTGGAGGCTGACAAGCGAGCTGTGTACAGGTAGGAGATACTTCAGCCGTGTCCTGAGCTCTCTGCCAACCTCAGGCCCAGCTCAGTCGGAAGAGATCTCATGCAGGCCAAAGGGTGGGCTTGTAAGAGACAATAGCCAGCAGCTGTTCTCCTGAGCTTCCTTCTCTCTCCACTCAGAAGAAGTCCCTCAGCTGGTTGACTCTAGCATCCTGGAAATGTCTAGTGGGGAATATAGAGCCCTGAGCAGCATCTCTGCAGGCCTTCCCATTTCAACTAGGGAGATGAGCCCTAATGAACATCAGAAGCCCTCAGCTCAGCCAGCTCACCCATGCCCTGTCCCCTCTGTTATCTTCACTCCAACAAGCCCGTCAGAGCACTGGATATCAGTTGCACCCTCTAGGACTTTACAGTACACACACTTTAGTGTGCGTGAAAATCACAGGGAGGGCTTTTTGAAACGCAAGGTTCTGGGCTCCACACTCAGAGATGCAAGATCAAGGGGTCAAGCTGTAGGAAGAGGGATATAAATTTTTTTAAAGCATTCTAGGTGAGTCGGATGCAGTTGGTACTTGGCCCACACTTTGATTCATGGTAGTCTTTGTTTTTTAGCAGTAGGTGTTGGGTGTGACTCTGTAGGTTGTGGGACTCTCCCCCAAGTTGGGGAGTTTGCTGAGAGCAGGCAGCTTGTTTCATCTTGTTCTGCATCTGCCCCATGCACCCAGGGTTGGATCCTGGGTGCTTTGGAGGGTGGGATGGAGCTCAGGGAAATGCATGTCTGCCTTGACGAGCTCCAGTTCTTGTGTACGTGGGTTGGAGAGGAGGATGCAGTTACCTGACAACTAAAATCCAGCAGGGATTTTAGTCATTGTTTATCCATGGGAGTCCAAGGAGAGATGTCTGAGTCTGCACTTAGTATCTATATTGGACCCTTGTCACATCTGCTTGTGGGAGCTTCTGTATTCACAGGCACCAGCAAGTGCAGCTCACCTCTGGCTGGGCACACACTGCAGCAGGTGCTAATGCTAGTACCATGCAGAATGATCCATCCAAGGCAGAGGAATAGGAAGATTGACTCCTTTCTCGCTCCTCCCCCATCACCCTAGTGACAGTGCCTTTATGGTAATGGTGATAATTAGTGCTGTTATTCTCATTATCGTTGGCATTATTTTTAGTTACTCACATGAGCTGAATGCCTCTAATACCAACAGTTGGGAGTTCAGAGCAGTGGGCCCTAAACCATGTATCCTGGTACCAGGGACCTCCCCAGGCCTGGTGCAGGCCAGGCCCAGCTGCTTGCAGAGTGGGGAGCTCTGCCTTGGGCTCCTAGAACTCCAGGATCTGGTCACAGAACCTGTCAGGGACACTTTAAGGGAGGGCAAGCCAGCATCTCCCAGTTTGGGACACCTCTTCTGTCCTCTCTCCCCTCCTTCCCTCACACTCTTTTATTGAACCCTTATTATTAATATGTATGGGCTCTGTGCTAGGCTCCAGGGGAAAGAGGATGAAATAAGAGGATAAGCCGGGCTCAGTGGCTCAGCCTGTAATCCCGCGCCTTTGGGAGGCTGAGGTGAGTGGATTGCCTGAGCCCGCGGGTTCGAGACCCGCCTGGGCAACTTGGTGAGACCTCATCTCTACAATAAGTAAAAAATTAACCTGGGTATGGGAGATGAGGCTGCACAGCCACCTGTAAGTTAACCTGGGCTTGTGCTTCTGTGGGGAGCATAGGAAGGGAGAGGAGTAATGTGGCCTCTGAAAACTGCTGGACAGCCTGATGACTTGGGCATATGTTCACCATACTCAATGGAGATCACTGGTACTCACAGTACAGTCCATGGACCAGCGTCATTGTGTCACCTGGGAGCTAATTAGAAATGCAGAATCTCAGGGCCCACTCAGACCTAAGGATTTACGATCTGCACTTTCACAAACTCTCAGGTGATTCATATGCACACTGGAGACTTATCCTGGGCAGTTTCTCAGAGCTCTGGGGACAGGGACCTGTAGTTGAACATAGATTGTGGTCTAGAAAGTTCCCAACATTAATAGTGCAATAAAAGGTTTCTGGAAACATAGGCTCGAGTCCTACCTTCATTGTGTGTTAGTCTCTCTGAGCTTTAACTTCATGTTAGAACCTAAGCAGCAAGTTTGATAAGAATCAATGAGGCTGGGCTCAGTGGTTCAGCCTGTAATCCCAGCACTTTGGGAGGCCGCGGTGAGTGGATTGCCTGAGCCCACGGGTTTGAGACCCGCCGGACAACTTGGTGAGACCTCATCTCTACAATAAATCAAAAAAAATTAGCCAGGCGTGGTAGCACGCGCCTGTAGTTCCAGATACTTGGAAGGCTGAGGTGGAAGGATCACCAGAGCCCAGCAAGTTGAGGCTGTGGTGGCAGGGAGCGTGCCATTGCACTCCAGTCTGGGCGACAGAGTGAGACTCCAACCAAAAAAAAAAGAAAAAAAGAATCAATGAGATGGCCCATGTAGCACCTGGCACCATGTCTGGCATCAAGAAGATAAGGTTTCCTTGGTCTCGCCAATGGGATCCATGGGCTCTAAAGCCCTTCCCATGATCCCAGGTCACCCACCCGGGCCACACTGTAGGAGAGGTGGGTCACCACCCCCATGGGAGCTGTTCACCAGGATATTGCCCTGACCTTCCATCAACCAACACTTCTTCCTGCTCACCTTCATTCCCCAGCTTTATCCTTTCCTGTGGGCTGACCACCCCACAGGACTTGGTGTTTACCCAAAGCATGTCTGCAGTCATTTGGCCCTGAAGAGGAAATCCTGTGCAAACATGGCAGTTCCAGCACCCAGGACACCAAACTGACAGCAGCACCATGCCCAGCCACCCATCTCCCCGGTTCTGCACTGCTTCCTGGTCCCACGGCCCCAGGGTTGTCTCCCACAACCACACCTCTCCCATTAGGACCTCTCCCATTAGGACCAGCAGCCCTTTCTGCAGCCTGTAGGGTCCGGTAATTTTAATTAGATTTGCCTGCCTGGGGCATCCTGGCTGCTCCAAAGCACATCAGGGAGTCCGCATTTCATGTCAATAAATGTAACCAGACCCTTTCCATTCAGATTAGCGCCCCAGCACTGACTTTTGGGAGCCTCCACCATGGCCCCTCCCAGAACCACAGATGAAGGAAGGATGGGGGAGCCCCTCCCTGCCCAGGCCCCTGCTGGGTGACAGAGGGACAGTGTGACAAAAGGAAAGGAGCCTGCCAGTGCCTGGGAGGTTTTATTTGTGTATGAGGATGCGTTAATGAAATGTACTGGTTCCCTTCTGATGTGAAAACTGTGTTGGGGGGTGGAGGGCAGAGTCTGTCTTTAATTGGATCATACCAGAGCATCATCTGGGCTAATCAGCAAGGCAACCAGGAGCTCCCATTCAGATTAATGATTGCAGTCTAATCCGAGCAGATCCCATGACTGGATGCACATCGTGGGTAATTGTGTTTGTGGCCCAGGAGTGGTGCTTAGAGGGGGTCTGAGGAGTGGAGCCTGTGGATTAAGGGACCGCAGGTTTGGACTCAACTCAGTTCTCTCCTTCGCCAGCCCCCACCTCAACCCTGAGGTTTCTCCCCAAAGAAGTTCACACTTAGCTTGAACCATAACACCCACCCGCCCATGCTGGTGGATAGTGGTCCGATGTTAGGTGCTGTCTGAGACGGGGGAGTGGGTTGCCAACAGTGCAGAGACAGGGCCAAGAGGGTGAGGTTAATCCAGCTTTTGCTCCCCCCCCTCCCCTCCAGTCTCCTTCGTTCCCCTTTGAAGTGAGTGGGTTCCCATGGAAACCATGGTGTCCTGAGGAGCAGAAGAGTGGCAGGAGCTAGGCCTGGCCAGGTACTAGTGGGGGAGGAGGTTGGCTTTGTGAAGACTGATCTGCCAAGGTGTTGGCTCTTTCCCCCAAGGCTAAAAACCTCTCTGAGAACCAGGGAGGTGGCCCACCTCAGCGGTACTGAAGAAATTGCCCATTTTTGATAAGGAAAAGCTGGGCTGCAGGCATGAGCAGTGAGAAAATAGTGAAGGCAGTGTGCTTTGCTTCTGCATTAAGAATACTGGAGAACGGAGCTATAGGGTCAGGTGGAAAGGGTGAGGTGGCCCCTGGACCCTGGATCTCTCCTCTGCAGCATTACTCACAATTGGATTAACTGTGTTAGCCTTTGTGCTAACATTATTTGTGTTTTCCCTACAATATCATTAACCCCATAAGCACAGGGTCCATGTCTGTCTCACTCATTACTTTATCCCCAGCACCTTACACGATACCTTCAAGTCGGCAGCCTAGACAAGCAGGCACTGAATCAAAGCATGTTGAATGACTTCATTAGACAGGTTAGGCGGCACCCCATAAATATAACATAGTTCTAGGTTGATGCACTGGCAAATGACTCTTGGGGGTGAGGGGAGGCGGAGAGCTCTGATCTGTAGCATATACTGATTCCCATGGTGAAAATGCTCCCACCATGGCCCATCCCAAATTGCCAACTTGATGCCACCAAACAGAGTCGGAAAGAGATGTACTCAGTTGGCTCTCACTAGCCTCAAAGCACAAACCTCATGGAGGAAGCCAGGTTCCAGGTACATAGTCTCTAGGTTTAAACAGGTGAGCCCATCTTATATCTGCCTCTTTGGAATGGTCATACCTTTAACCACGATTCTACATTCCGGATCTTCACTGTCCTGCCGGACCCCTGGGTTCTTAATTTGAAATGTTCTCTTTCTTTTTTTTTTTTTTTTTTTTTGAGTTGGAGTCTCACTCCGTCCCCAGACTGGAGTGCAGTGGCCGCTACCGGCCACTGCAGCCTCGACCTGCTGGGCTCCAGTGATCCTTCCACCTCAGCCTTCAAAGTAGCTGGAACTACAGGCACAGTGAATGTTCTATTTCCTAGACTTTACCCAGTACTTTCTACCTCTTTCCATTTGCTTGAGCAAAGTCCCACCTTCACCCCTTGCTTCTCTACCAAGTTGCTTCCAAGCCTTCCCTGGTTTACCAGCAAGTGAACTCCTTCCTGGCAGAAACC